CTTTCTTAACACTGAACATAAGTTTCTGTACCTGACCTTCTGGCTTGAACAAGAAGACGACCTACTAAATCAGTTCAATGCAAACCATCATCCCCTTGCTTTCTACTTCACTGAGCGAATAACAACACTGTACGTTAGCGATTATTAAATCTACTATAAGGGGATCTGATTTCGTTACTCGTTGCCCACCCCACCTTAGAGAAGTGTAACTCACTCCTACAGGTAACGACTACAAAACCTCTATGCTTACCTGCACACCTTGACTGCCTATTCTTATTTCATAGAATTCTTCGTTCAACCTAGTCTTCGCCCAGTATCAATCGAGCTACCCGACTAGGGTATCTTTCTTTTTCCTGGTCTTTTATATGTACGCCCCATCTGCAAGTCTCCTGAAGTATAGACAACCATCATACGCACTCCTTTTGTACCCCGGTGCTGTCATAAAAGAAAAAAATGGCTTGTACCATTGCTTGGGAGCCTCTTTCAGGCCATCCAATGATTTTTTCAACTTTTAAACATAGTCCTTTTGCTGTGTACCTCAAACCCTTCAGGTTTACGCATCAGAGTGCAAAAGAAAGAAAAAAAAAACAAGGTTGTTGCAACTGGAAGTGAGAGTCTCAGGGTTGATAATAGGGCTGATTTAGTTCAAGAGCCTATGCAGGAGATGGTTCTTGGCGATCAGTCAATGGAAGTTGTTGAGAAAGGTGTAGGTGACTCTCATATCTCTTGTGGGGGCTCAACTGAAAGACCTTCCTCTCTTTTCGGTCTTAAAGAGAATAGAGGGAAAGACATGGGTAAGATTGGTCAGATGCTTGTTGTCCAGGATCCGTCTCCGGAGGGTCAGTCATCCACCTCCTCCCCCGGGCAACACAAGTCGAGTATGGACGAATCTTCTACGGCTTCTTTGCTTATCTCACTATCATCCAACTGATCAATGCAATTGGAGGCGCTTGCCCATCTTCTTCCTTGCCTCATTGAAAGGGCTTCCCCAAGGGTTGTTCATAAAGTGGAGTGCAACGAAGAGCTGAGGAGTTTAAACAAAGAGTGGCTCGGCCTCTTGTGACAGACAGCCTTCGAAGCGGATTCCTATCAGAGAGGGGCGAGGGGTTACATGGTTATCAAAGTCGACCGTGAAAAGGCCTACGACTATCTTAGATGGGATTTTATAGAAGAATCTCTTCACCTTGCCGGTTTCCCTTGCAAGCTAATCACGGCTATTATGGCTAGTGTACGGTCGGCTTCGATGAACTTGATGTGGAATGGAGAAGTTTGTGACGAGTTTAAGACATCCAGGGGTGTCCGTCAAGGAGAGCAAAGTGAGTCTCGACGTCAAGGAGAGGAAAGAAGATGCTCGACCAAACAAACTTTTCGAAGCGCAGTGAAGTCCCTGGGAAGGTGTAATTGAGGAGATTTAGTAGTTCAAGCTCAATAGAGAATAAGGTTCTGAAAGAATAGATGGAAAGTAAAGGTCAGATCTGTCTTTTAGCAGTAGATCTTGAATGCCTTTGTCTCACTTGAGAAAGAGAGGCGGGAAGCTGCTCAACTTGTTTTTCCAGAGTGAGCCAGTCTCTGTAGGCGAGGGCAAGAAACCACAAAAGTGCAGTCAACATAGGAGTGAACCATCTCAATAAGGGAAGAGTCTGGGCATCTTCACATACGACACCATTTTGAGATCTGTCATTTCGGGAAGGTGGAGTGAAAAGAGAAGGCAATGAAAAGGACTTTCTAGCCGGCTCTTCTATCTACGCAAATGAAAGAGATGTATGCTCTCAAGTTAGAAAAATCCCTCCCTCACATGCATTTGCAACAGATTCAAACTCAAACCCGTAAAGTCCTTCTACTTAGTGAAGTACACTCCTCCTTTATTTAACTTCCTAACATTCATCTTTTAGTTCGTTATATAGCGATAATAGCCCATTCATTACCTTCCTTTCTGATTGAATCCGAACAATAAATGAAATTAAATAATTGTATGCCCTTTCTTTCAATTGAGCTGATGACATAGACTTCAGCTGCTGTATCTTCCTTGATTAACTGTACTTGGGTTCCTGGGGGTATTATCGACTGAGATGGATCAAAAGTCATAGACCTGCCAAAGATGGTGTTAACAAAAGGACCCGTCTCATTGTTCTTATTTGTGGGGATCACCTCTGCCTTTGCATTACTTTCTTCTCTAAAGGAGTGACGACATAGAGTGTCGGATGGTCTACTGGACTTGGTGCATAGTAGGTCATGGAGGCCTGGCTTAGGGCTTGATAGAGGGAAACAACTTTTCATTCAGAGGTCTTGGTAAGTGGAGAGCTGTTGTAGCGATGTTTAGCCAAAGAAGGGAATTCAACTTGCGAGTAGGGCGTGTGCCCCATTAGTCTATGTCTTGCCCTAGTTAGAAAATACTATATCCAGACAAAGGGAAAGAACCTTGTCGTAGAAGGTCAGAGGAGAGATGTCGATAAGCAAGGTAGAACTTCAAAGTTATGGTTTGAAGATAGGGGACGACTATTACACCGGTTGAGGGGTGGTTTTACAAGCTCGTATGATAATGAAAGATCGTTTAGCCAGAAAAGGGGAAAGCAAGGCTTTTAGGATAGACAGTTACAAGGGGAGATCGAGTCTAAGTCCTAGGTGGGGAGTTTCTCAACCAATAGCGATAGAGAACGACTTATATACAAGGAGCTTTGACAGTAAAGTTGAGGGTTCCGTAAGGTGCTCTACTAAGAAGGAAGGAGAGCAAAGTGAGTCTCGACGTTGCCAAGAAAGGAAAGAGGAAATTGAGCGAAAGCAATAGGGCACCGAGCTGCATACTTTGTGTGAGAGGGAATGAGTTGTGGAGATGGGTGAGAAGAAAGGCCTACGCTATGAAAAGTGGAGAGAGACCCTATTACTATTAGTAAATATAGAAGCTCACAGGCAAGCAAGGGCATGACGCATCATTCGACTCAACCAAGAAGAAAGGCTCTAATGGTTGTACTTGCGGCTACGTGGAGAGAGGATCGGGCTAATAGAAACTTGCACTTTTTCAATGGGGACAGGAAGAAGGTTAGGGCATAGAAGGACAGACAGCTAGAAGCACGAAAGCAAGTCAGTCGTAGTTCTATTGTCAGAGAGGGACAGTCTTAGATAATATGCTTCGCCCGGAGGATCATTCATGGGGAAGATCCTAACATGATCTACTAGGTCAAGCGAGAAAACGGGTAGGCGCACGCGCTCCTTCGAGCATACGCTTGCTCCTTTCAGATTATTCCCTTGAGAATTATAAAAGGGCAAACAAAGAACTAATCTCATACAGTACAACTATGATCAGGCAATAGCGTAGATAAGATCAGACTGAATGTGTGAAAGATATGGTTCTGGTTCTCTTCTGTCCCCTTCCTTCAATCAAAGAAGAATCCATGCCCAGGGCTAGTGCCAGCGCATAGTCAGAGTCTTCGCTGCCTGCCTCTCTCTCTTCTTCTTTCCCTATTGACTGCAAGAATTGTTGAATCCGAGAGCTAGGGTTTTTTGTCTTTGCAGAACCCGAGCTAATGATTGGAGATCTTCTACCGTTATAGTTTCCAGCTGACCTAGCCAATATCGATTCAAGTGGAAAGTAATGTCCGCTAAAATGAGCCTTTTTCGACTATATGATAGGCGATAGCTCCAGTTTTCCTTTCACTTTTGCACTAAGTTACAACGATCTCTTCAAAATTCAAGTTTCAAGGGTAAGAGAGTTTGAAATATGCTCGACTTCATGGAGAGGTTATACCATATGCTCGACTGAAAGGAGAAGTAAGGGGAAGCGAAGTGAAGTAAAAAACCCCATTACGCGGGAGAGGAGCGAAAGTCGACAAAAGGATCAAGTTGGAATAAATCCCGTCTTACGCTCAATCAGACACTGATGAAACCATGCCTGAACACCAAGGTCGTCCGGGGAATGATGAGTTAATCGAAATGTTGTATTTACAATGTCCAAAGAGATTATCATATAGAAGTATAGAAATGAACCTCTCTCTACATTGGAGTTTCAGATGTTGAGTTCTATCAAAGAGTACAACATTTCTAGGAGAGACCGGGCTGGTCTCAGCGGGGGGAGGGTTGCTTCTTGATCGTTAAGGTGGGGTGAAGATCATCCCGAATGAAATAGAAGATTTTAAGACGCTTAATTCTTAAACTGAAGAATCGAAACGAATAATCAAGACAGATAAGATGATAATCAACAAAAAACTCTCAATTACATCTCAATTGCATCGTACTTTTGTCTCTCTTAGGGTTTAACGTAGTCCTTGATATAAGAGTAAGTTGATGATGGTCTCTCGTCATTATCCATGACGTATCAGGGATAATACCCAATACGCAAAAGAAGAGGAAGGAAAAAGCAGACGAAGCTCGGCCGGCAAGTCGAATTCACTTTCAGAAAATATATAAATATATGCAACAACGCCGATTTGTCAAGCCATAGTAGGAGATTGGTCCGCGTGGAAAAGCATAGTTGATTTGGCAAATCTATCAAGATAATGCAAAGAGGTTTAAATATGCTCGACCAAACAAACGAAGCGAAGTTCAATCATAGAGGTTTTTGGGGGAGAAAAGAAGAAGTCTGGTTCCAAAGAAATGCCCAAAAATAGAAGGTCCTCTTCCCGCACAAGATAACTGCCCCGAATAGAGATCTTGTCCTGCTCATTTTCCAGTGCTTTCTGAAGCTGATAGTAGGCTAAGCATTGGAATAGGATAGAAACCATAACTAGAACCCTAATTTGACTTCACTGCGCTTCGAAAAGTTTGTATCGTCGAACCTACTTCATCCCTTTTGACATTCAATTCTTTATTGAGCCCGGTGTGGAATCACCATCATTACACATTCATTCTTGGTCTGGCATAAGGTCTAGCGAGCCTTCTTAGCCACCATCAGTGCAGCCTACCTGTTGAAGACCGTAACGTAAGTAACTCAGTGCTCCATACAGGGGAAATGAAAGTAGAATAAGTTCGGATCCTCCCACATGTTCAATCTTTTTTTAGCGGTTTCCCCAGAGATTTTTCTCATTAATGCAACCTTCATTTTGCTCATTCATGGAGTTGTATTTAGTACCTCTAAGAAATATTCTTATCTGCCGTTAGTCAGTAATGTGGGTTGGCTTGGATTACTTAGTGTCGCGCGCCTAGGAGGGCAGCGCGCTTTGGGATGCGAAGGAGCTATTATCGTCCAGCTCCCTAACCTAATGTGGCACCGGGTTTGGACCGCAGGGAACCATAGCATGGAGGGACGTCTAATCCTTTTTTTTGTCGCCGCAAGGCTGGCTAATCGTACGCAGCAGCTACCTTCAGGCACCCTGGTTCTGGAAGGCACATGAGTCCGAACGCTATGTTGAATGTGCGACTGACACTACGTAGGTACCTGTGCAGGTGAGGCGTCGGTCGGTCCTAGAAACGGCGGCAGCGGCGCGAGGAGTTAACGACCGGACCGTGCTGCAACCTAGGGATCACCAGGCAGCTCTTTCGCTCTATAGGGATCGGGGGGGCATAGCACAATTCTTCTTGGAGGAGGGTTGTTTGCCCGGGTGACTGATCCTGCCATAATGTACTCCTACCTATACACCGGCAACCGAAGTCGAGCATACATACTTTTTTCTTCATGCGTGAATAGCCGGGAGGAAACAAAGGGCAGTAGATGATAATGAGAAAAGGCACCGCGTCTGGACGGGTGGGCGGAATGGATGAGCGAAAGGTGTCATGCCATGTAGTGGGGAATATCCCGAGTCTCATGTAAGACAACTAAATAAACCTCGAGGCTGAGGGCTTGCTCCTTCTCGAGCACAGAATAGGTAATTGAAAGATAGAGCTAGCTTATTCGTTATGGGGAATCAATGCTCCGGACCGAATAGAGCTTACCTATGGCACCTGGCTTTCTCCGGTGCATATTAGCTTAGCTGCGCTTACGCGGGTGGTTTGGCTTCCTCTCTTAGGCCACTTTCCTTACCCACGGAACTCTCACTTCAAGCTACGCCTGCTGAGCAAGATGCATTATGATTTCCTCTTCTGTGGACGCATCGGAGTATGACCCGGGATGGGAAGAGAATAAATTATCCGACGAGCTTTCTCTCGTAAAGCCAAAGACGCCCTAAGACAAGGTGACGAAGTAGGCTCGACTATAAATCCGAGGTTCAAAGATCTCGACTAAAAGGAGAGGAGAGCTTGGAGAAGAGGACATGTTCAATAGAACCTGGCTGGATTCGGGCTGGGATAGTGGTGCCCATTCAACATCAGTTCCAAAAGGGTTCGCTCATGCTGGAGGGAGCATCCCCACTTAGTGATCGGTCCGCTAGTTCACGCAAATCCGAAGAAGTTATCACGGACGAGCCACATGCAGGGAAACTTGCACGTGTGGTTCTGGCCGGGCTTTCCCCACTGAGCGGTATCTAATAACCTTGCTTCTGCTCGCCGATGGCGCACCTCTCCTAACTATTGCCTATTTATTCTGGAATAATCATTTTAGGAGGGACAATTTTACATATTTCTGCCAAATCCTTCTATTATTAAGTACGGCTAGTACCATTTCGATGTGTTTCGATTCTTCCGAACAAGAGAGGTTTGATGCTTTTGAATTCATTGTATTAATTCCACTTCCTACTCGCAGTATGCTCTTTATGATCTCGGCTTATGATCAATTGCCATGTATTTAGCTATTGAGCCTTAAGGTTTATGTTTTTATGTGATCGCAGCATCAAAAAGAAAGTCTCAATTTTCCACGGAAGCCGGCTCGAAATATTTGATCTTAGGTGCATTTTCCTCTGGAATATTATTGTTTGGGTACGACCGGACAACTACCGATATCTATTAATATCTTTTCTTAGAATATTGTTGTTAAATATATCTATCTATATCGTAAACTATCAGATCGGGTATTACTTAGATGTGAAACTTGCAGACCTTATTGGTTGTGATATTGATCTTACGGGGGGAACAAAAGAAAAGAATATATAGACCTATAGAGACCCTATATGTAGTTGTCTATCTAGGGCGATCGATCTACATCTTTCCCCTAGCCCTAGGGCTGTGTCTTGATCTCCTATGTGCGAAATCTAAGAGACTCGTTCCTTTCTTTCAGGGACTTCACTGCGCTTCGCTTCGTTCGTTGGGTCAAGGGTTGGTCGAGGTCAACTTTGTCGAGCCTGAACTTCGCTTCTAAAGTACACTTCGCTTCTAAAGTACCCCTTGGTCTAATTCCACGCCTTATGACGAAAGTGGAGTCGGCGTGGCGTAAAGTGAAGATTGGGGGAGTAGAGAAAATTCCCTTCTAGGGTAGACCGAAGATGTAACCTAGGCAACGAAAAAGGGGCCCGATACTTCAACTAGAGGAGCGACTGGTTGGTTCACCAAACTCCGACCCAGCGTCACACGTTCTCCAGGTCCGAAGGGATCCAGTGCCCAACTACCGACTCCTCATGGAATTGCGTTATCAGAGCCGAGCCAGGAATGGCCATTAGTGGGCACCCACCACTTTTCACGGTTAGAGAGGCCCTCTTTAATACATTAAAAAAAGATGTTCACAGGGGCCAGAACGACTCGGTCATAGGAACGACGACCACCTACGTGCTGGTAAACGAAAACCACCTCGACCGGATAATAGTAAAGAACAATGTCGAATCAGGCTGCCCCTTGCCTTGAAAGTATTCACACGCGACCACCATCTTTCCCAAAATAAGGGGAGATCTGCTGCTTACTGCTCACGGAAAGACCTAAAATTCGCCTATCTTTCTGATCTCCTTTCCTCATCAGATTTTTTGCTTTGACGACAGTACAAACTTTTCGAAGAGAAGTGAAGTCATAAAAGGTATATCACAGTTGCTTCATTTCACAGCTATATGAGATGAAAAAAGTCGAATTGAAATTATCTTCGTAGAGTGAAAAGTGACTTGCTGCATTTTGCAGCTATATGGTCCGTCTTTGGGATGATCCTGAGGTTCGATGCAATTGACCTGGCACTTTTCCCAATCTATCGAGCCAACCCCCTAGATGACTTTCTATCTATCTTCATCTAGAATCATTGATCTATTAACCTAACCTTTTCTTAGAAGAGGACTAATCAAGCCAAGGAAGGAGGTGAAGGTGCTTTTCTACAATCCCTCAATTACACCTTTTTTTTCACTCTTTGACTTCACTGCGCTTCGTTCGTTCCTCAACATCCACTTTCTCTATGGCTTTTGCCTGCCTTCTATCTAGGCGAAACACCAGATCAAGCCAGACGAGAAAGAGAAAAGGAACTACAGGGCTTGTGGGTAAGGATCGAAGGGATAGGTAGCAAGCAGAGCGAGACGAGCTATTAGAGGACGACTGTGTTGGAGCCGGGAGCGTAGTGAGTGCAAGAAAGGTCTTCTTTAAGGTGGGAGAGAGATTTTAGATAGCTTTAGATAGAAAAAAAAAAAGTTTGCTAAAAAAAGAACTTGGCTGGACCGAATAAAGGCAAATCCATAGTCAGGTCGGTGGGATCAGACCTCTTTTTCTTTTTATGCTTGTAGCACAGTAAGGCTCGGCTATCTCTTTCCTGCAACTTGACTGTTGAACAGGATGGCACGAATCCGCTCTTTGACTGAGTTAAGGAAGGAAGAAATTGTTCTCTTTACGGGCACTGGAGGAGGTAGCTTTAAGTAGGCATCTTTCCTAAGTTGTTCTTGCTTAAGTTCCGTTTCTTCTTGGTCAGCTGTAAGGTGAGGACGTTGAAGAAGGCGCTATCGTCTAGTTGAGAAAGGCACTCGCTCATTCTCTCTACTCGCACTCTTTCCGCCTCTCTCACTTAAAGGAGTTACGAGAGCGGGTAGCTTGCTTAGTCTAGTCCACAATATGAGTGTCGGTTCGGTTGCAGTTACGGTTATTGTGGCAGGGTAGGCAGAGGAAGTCTGTCGGTAACCTCAGTGTCATCGAGTAAGGTAGTTACATCACCATTGGTATGTGCCAAAATTCTGGAACGTAGTAAAGATAGTGGCAGGTAAGCGGTCAATCCAGTGCCTCTTTCTTCCTTGAGTTGAGGATCCCCAGAAAAAAGAAGCGAAAATCGATTCCAACCGCCTCAACCAAAGAGGTCGTATAGCCGCCATGACATGAAGAGGGATGGTGAAGAGGATATGTTTAATAAGAATTAGCCTACCACCTGGAGACCTCGACTGCCACCCAGAAATTATTGAAACACACTTATCAACGAGAGATTGGAAGTAAAGCATTTGACTTCTGCCCGCAAATAAAGGAGCACCCAGATAAGTAAAAGGCAAAGATCCCACAGCAAGACCAAAGCATGAAGACATAAAAGAAGCCAAGTGGGCCGATTGCAGAACGAAGCTGCTTTTTGCAAATCTTACAAGTTGTCCTGATTGTTCCTCAAATGTCTTCAGAAGGTGCATAAATGTAATAACCCAACTTCTTGTTAATATAAATGATGTATTATTTTTTATTAATTCCGTTCATTTTCAGCAATTACGTACGACATTAAGTCGAAAGACTTATCCGGTTAATTATTAACCGAGTCAAATTCGATAATTAATTTCTGAACCATTTATTTTATAAACGGACATTATTAATCGAGATTAATTATTGAAAGTTAAGAATGTTCGGAACTTAATGTCAAAGTCATGTTAAGTCATGAATGCACCAAGGTGCACTAAGCACGCACGCGTATACGCACGCCGTGCATACGACCGCGCACGCGAACGCGCGCAGCGCGCATCGCTACGCGTAGCACATGCAGCGCGCGCCATTAGGCGCTAAGCGCACGCTTATGTCATACTAAGCGCTATGATTAAGCTAAGAAATCTCACCCCAACTCCTAAGTATGTGCCGTGAAGAATTCTTAAAAGAGATAAGTTTGGATGCAAGTGGCGACTATGAGTCACCTACTTGCTTGAACACATGGCACGACACGGGGCCTCGGGCGATGACTAGGCCCGTGCATGTCTGCCACCTCGGCAATGACTAAGCAAAATTTTTTTCCAACACTCATCCACGTTGTGACACTTGTTGTCAAGAGAAATCATGTCACCTTTCACCTCCTTGACCCAAATTCACTCACGGATTTTTACCATAATAAAAAACCGAGCGTGGACCTTGTCTCCATGCAATTCCA